TACGGAGCCGGTGGGCGGAGCCTTGGCCCGCCCCATCGTGATTGGATGGCGGCCGCACACTGCGGTCTGCCGCCGGGGACACCTTACACCGGCGCCCGCAACTTCCCCACAAGGTCACTGCTGCCGCCCTGAGGCTGGGCCTCGGTGGCCTTGTGTGAAATCTGCCTGCGTGCGGTCCAGTGCGATTGCAAAAAAACTGCATGCAGTTTTATTCTGAAGTAAACTTTTTAACACTGCATTTGTGTATTTGACATTTAAGGAAGGTATTTAATATATTTCTTTAATCGACAAAATAATTTGCCACATAATCGATTATGAAAATAAATAGTTGCAGCCCTGGTGTTGTGGTAGCTTTAGGGATGGTGTGCTGGACTTAGGCTGCCCATACACCTTGCGATTATCGGACAACACTTTTCGTCCGATAAATGCACCGTCGTACGATTTTCGTACGGCGGCCCCATCCTGCCCCGATTTATCGCAAGGTTGGATCAGCGGTAATTAGAAGAAAGCACCTGGATGAATTGTGGTAATTGACCGCACGTATTTTCGTCTGCGCATGTGCAGTGTAAATCGTACAAATTTTGACGTACGGAAACGCCACCAACCTTGTGAAAATCATACGATCGACCGAAGTTTTCTAACCTGCTGGTTCGTCAAAAATTTATCGATTGTACAGTATTTGTGGTTGTACACTGCCCATCAACCTTACGAATATCGGAGGAAAACACGATCGCATACGAAAATCGGCCGATATTCGTAGGGTGTATGGTACGGATATACCGATACTAGTATCAATATCGGTGCCGATAACGAATATTTGGGCGAGTACTCTTACTCGCCCAATGCTTCGATGCCTATCCGGATACTTCCTGTACCAGGAAGCCGAGCAACGCGTCATTACACGCTGCCCGGTTTCCTGATTGGCCGGGAAGCGGCTCCATGCTCTCTCGTCACTTGTGATGAGAGAGCATGGAGCCGACTTCCTGGCCAGTCAGGAAGCCGGGCAGTGTGTAATGACGTGCTTCCCGATTGGTCAGGAAGCTAGCCAATCATGGAAGCCAGGCGGCATGCAAAGACGCGGCTCCCTGTTTTCTGATTGTCCGTGGCATGGAGCCGTGTCATTACATGGCGCCTGGCTTATTAATGATTGGCCATCAAGACGGCTCTGGCTGGGTACCGGAGGAAGGCCGCTCCTGGCTGGAGAGGCCCCGGGGCTGACAGGCTGGACATGCCGAGGTGAGAGGGGACAGAGATCCGCACTGATCATATGATTATTATTATGGGGATTCGTATGGGAC